TCTGATCATTTTCCCTCAGCCACCCCCTGGTGGTCAGTGCTGTGGGTCCCTGAGGAGGAGTGTTTTGTGAGTCCTGGGGGATAGACGCCCAGGCTGGGCTGGGCCTGGGCTGGGCAGCCTTGCTCAATGCCCAAGTGAGATCTTGCCCTGCCTGGCCAGGCCCGGGTTGTGGCAGGTGGGGAAAAGCAGAGGAACTGGTCTTCCAGCTCCAGGGGCTCTGCACCCAGCCCTCAGCCAAGCCTGTTCTAAGACGAGTCCTGGCATGCGGGCCGCCCCAACAGGCACCAGCTCTGTGGATGGATGGCATGGGGGTACTGGTGGCAACACTGAGCTGGCTGGGGCATCGGGGCTGGCACTAGGCTGCCAGGATCCCCTTCCCTCAACAAATAACACTGGCTCCTTGGGGTACTTCGACAACCTGCGCTGGGAGGCTCCACTGTGACCTTGACCTCACATTACACTAAATGGAAAGGGGTCTTTAAAGCCAAGCATGGATACCGTCTGTGCACCCTGGAATCCCCCAGAGCAGTGAGGTGTCTGTCTCTGAGTGGCAGGGTGGGGACTGCTGAGTTGGAGTTGTGTGTGTCTGTGCGAAGGGGGGTTGTACCCAGTTGTACCCAGTGCGTCTCGTGAAAGGTGCTCCTCCCAGTGGAGGTGCAGCCGGGTGGGGGCCTTGTTAATGCTCTCAGGGATGTGCGTTCTTCCCCCGCCACCCTTTCCCCAGCCCGTTCTGGGCTGTGCCCATCGCTCCCTGCCCGTCATACTCATTGCCCTCGGCAGGTCCCAGCTTGTCTGTCCTCGGTGGAGAGACAGTGAACTGATAAATCACTGTGCCTGGCCGGAAATGCTGATGCTGCCTCGAGGCACTGGTGGGGCCCCTCCCTCATGGGTATGGCTTTGGTGGGGGAGATTTCAGGGTCTTGAGGCCCAAGTGGGGGGGTGGGGGGAGCTGTGGCATCAGCATGCCTCCCTGGCGGGCTGTGGTTAGAAAACATGTCCTGGGAGAAGAGTAATGTGTCCTGGGGCAGGTGCGTGTTGCAGATCCCCTGGACCCTGAGCAGTGGCCCTGCCCCTCCGGCCTACCCCAGCAGGGTCTGGCACCACCCACACCACCCAGCCAAGCTGGTCAGAACCATTAGGGAGTTTAGGATTATCCAGCCAGGCCCCTTCCGTTGTCCAGGTGGGGAGTGGGTACAGAGAGTGGCAGGTCACCCAGCACATGAATGGTAGAACTGGAGCTGGCCCTTTCCCCTTGCTCTGGGTCTGAGATACTTTGGGTCTGACCTGCCTGGTCAGTGCTTAGGCCATTCCAGCCAGGGCTAGAGTAGAGGGTGTGAATGATGCCCCACATGGAGAAGAGAAAGCAGTCACAGAGCCCACGCTACAGGGCACCAGGGCGTTTGGGGGGCCATGGGAATGGGTGTTTTGCAACAGGTGTTCTCTCCCCTACCGCCTGTCCCCCCAGTGGTATCCCTGGAAGACCACACCCTTGGGGTCCACCAAGGGCCTCTGAGGTCCAGCGGCTCTCTCTTGCTGGATTCAGCCAGGTTGCTGCACCCGGCCAGCTAATGGGAGGTGCCGGGCAGGGTAGACAGCTGCCTGGAACACCGAGGGGTTCCCTGCTGACCCCAGCAGGGAGGAGTCTCAGCCCAGCTTCAGCACAGATGGTTCTTGCTTTTCCTTGTGACCTGTGCTTGTACTTTTGGAATCAAGGGGGCTGGTGCCTCTGGAAGTTCAGGGGTTCCCGCAGCCCCTGGATGAGGGTAACTAGGCCGGCACCACAGTGTGCTGTCTGTGAAGAGAGGATTTGTTGGGAGTGTAGAGAGAATATTCCAGAGCCTTCCTGGGGCGTTTTGCCCCTAGAGCTTGCTTGTTTACGGGGCTTTGTTGCTATTTGGTGCCTCGTCTTAGAACATTGAACTCCGTCAAGAGGCCTGAATGAAGGTCTTGTCACTTCTCTGGGTGAGACCTTTTCCTCTCTAGACTATTGTCAAAGTGTAGCCTGTGGGCCACCTGCAGGACCCGGAGCTTGTTAAACCATCAGAGTCAGCCTCTGGGATGTGTGACAGTCTCCTGGTGATTCTTAGGATTCCTCAAGTGTGAGAGCCCCTGGCCTGGACACAGGCGATGGATGGTTTGGATGCCACCCTTGGCCAGTGTGGATTCTGCACCCCGGAAACCTCAGCCCCCAAGAGCTGCGAAGTCTTGACAGGGGGTGGGAGTGGGTCAGCGTGTTTCCCTTAGATCCATAGATCTGACCAAGAAACTGAGGGGGATAAAATAGATTTATAAAAATCCATGACTCCGTTTGAAGCCTCCCGAGGATGTTTGTTGTTGGAGTCTTGATGGGTTGGGAGTGACGAGGGTTTATCCTGGCGTGACTGTGAGGCTCTCCTGCCTTTTGACTCTGAAGCCTGGGCTTCTGGAACAAGTCTGGGACCCTCCTGTCCACTAGCCCCACACCAAGTGCCAAGGCCCAGTACCTAGGCTGCTTGGGACAGGCCATGACCCAGCTCCTTTGATAAGAGGCGGCTCTTTATCCCTGCTGTTGTGACTAATGGGGCTTGTTGACTCAGTGACTTGCCTCCCACCCACAGAAGCCAGGGATTTTTGAAGCCGAGCACCTGTTTAATATCACAATTCCGTGACCTCCTTACATGCTATTGTACATTAGTGTGCATTGGCTAAAGAGCAGTGTGACCCTGTGATGTCAGTAATGTTCTTTAAGGGATTTGTTTGGTCTTTCACTCAAGTTAGGCAGGGGGTGACGCATGTTAATGATTCAGGGTGCAGGTTGGAAACCAGAGGTCTTAAGACCTGGTGGCTGCAGGTTGATGGGGTGGGGTTGGGGGCAGACGGGCAACCTCTCTGGGTACAGCCGGGCCCACCATCCCCACTTTAACCTCTCTGAGATGCCCTCTTGGTGTCCTGGCTGTGGCGCAGCCAAGGAATTCTTATGCACAGGGTGTCTTGGGGAGGTGCTACCGCACAACCACCCCTTGACCCCAGGGCCGGCCAGGGCAAGGGCTTTGCTGGGACGTTGCCAAGAAGGATGGCCCTCCTCACAGCCAGTGTGGGGGTGAGAGCTTGAAGGAGCTGGCTTCAGGCTGCCTTCTTGAAGCTTCTCTGCCAGCCCTCCGCCCACAGACTCCGGATGTGCTCTTGAGGTTGGTTGGCAGCCGGTGATGAAGACTCTCGGCCCTGACCTGTTCTGGTCCGTGCAATTCCCCCTCCACCTCTGAAGTGTGGCCCAGCACCTTGGTCCCTTCAGCTGCTGGAGCAGGGCTCAGGGAGAGCCTTAGGCAAGTTTCCCTTAAAACAGCTGGGCTCAGCTGAACATGGTAGCCCTTTAGGGCTGGCAGAGGGAGAGAGGGATGGCATGGCAGGTGAAGACAGCAAGAGCCTTGGGCAGGTCCCTCACCCTTTGTTCCTTATCTGTCAGAGATGCTAATCTCAGCCCTGCCTGCCTTGTCTGCAGGTGAGTGTAGGAATCAAAGGGTAATGGGTGGAAAGTGTTTCTAGCCCTAGACAAGGCCTCATTCCTTCACACCCTCTTTCCTGCTGGGCCAGAGCTCTGACCCCAGGACTCTCCAGGGCCTTTCCCACACAGCCCCGTCTCTCCAGGGCCTTTCCCACACAGCCCCGTGGTGTGGCCGGGAGACTAGCGTGGCTGAGACACAGATGGGCTGATGCCCCTGTCTTACTCCCTGTTCCAAAGACTCATGCGTCTGCCCCACCACCCACCAACCCCCAGGCGAGCCATACCTTCTGGCTTTGAGCTTCCAGGTCTGCGCTTCCAGGTCTGCACTGTGGGTGGGGAAGGAGCAAATCAGTCCTTGCTTTGCTCAAACAGAAAGCGTGGAAGTCCAGACCTTACCATGCGTGAGTTTTTGATTTGTTACATGAACAGCTGATTTTCCTGGGACTTTCTGACGTTAGAGGTGTGGGCTAGCCTGCCTTCCACCTCCCTAGGTAGCATGAGTTGGGCTCCAAGCTGAGCCCCCCTTCCCCCGAGCAATGGCCAAGCAGTCTTAGGGAGGATGTAATCAGAGTTGATGCTGAGGACATCCTCACATGAGGCCATGGTGGCAGTTTGCTGCAGGCTGTTAGCACAGCAGGCCTGCTTAATGAAACTGGAAGTCTCACCGGAAACTCGAGTCAGCTGGCACCTTGGTAGTCAGGGATCGAACTCAGCAGTTTTTGCTAATTTCTTCCCCAGGGGGCTGAAGTCTTGAATTTTTCTCATCTGAGGTCACAGAAAGGCGAAGTTGGAAGTCACTGTAGCCCATCCCAGTAGAGGAGACCCTAGGCCTGGAGAGGGGAGAGGCTAGTCAAGGGAGCTGGTTTCAGTGGAGAAAACATTTGCTTTAAGAGCTTGTTCTGTAAACAAGATCATGGAGGGATAAGTTTGGAACAAATTGTTTTTAGGGACTGTGCAGACCCAAAATCTTACCTAGTCATGGGAGAAGCCCTGCTCTTGGGAAACTATTACCCCGTTGAGCCTTCTCCATGTAAGTGGTAGGCTGGCCTCCCTGGCATTTGTCTGGGTCTCACTCGGTGGTGCCTCCAAGGTTGTACGTGGGCCCCAGAGTGTGTGTCTTCTCTACAGGCCTCAGTTACCTCCTCTGTTGAATAGGGCCTGGACCCGATGACTGTGGCTTCTGCTGGAAGATTTGATGCTCTTTACAGTGCACCTGAGGCTCATCTGGTCAGAGCCCTGATTCCTTGCCCCATCTTGAGCTTTCTCTCCAAGGGAGGGGAGTCTGCATCATGAGAGGGCGTGGCAGAGGCCTGGGGTGGGAGTGAAGCCATGATCTTGGGGAGTCTGGGTACGGTTGCCACTCAGTGCCTGCCTCGTGGGCAGTATTCTTTGTCACTGAAGGAGACAGGCTTGGGGGAGGCCAGGAGCAGCTTCACAGTTCTGTGGAGGGGGCAGAGGTATTTGAAGACCACCTGGGGGTGGTATAGATGGGCTGTGGCCTGGTGTGGGGATGGGGGGCATGGGCTGTGACTGTGTGTTGCAGATGAGCCATGAAAGGCCCTTCAAAGGTCAGAAGGAAGTTCAGCGTTATTTCTAGCCTTGCGGTTTCTACACGTGTCTGTTGTGTCTCTCTGACCTGGGCCTCTGGATGTGCAGCCTCCACCTGGTCCACTTCTGCCCCAAAGCTGCCTCAGGAGGCCAAAGGTCTTGTCTGTCCCTCCCCACTCTGTTCCAGTCAGGAGTGAGGCTGGTGGGCCTGTGGCAGGACCCGGCCTGGCTTCTTGGGCTGAGGAGCCCTGTTCTCTGGAGCCCAGCCTCAGGTGGGCCCTCTGACGAGTCTGTGCAGAGGCTCCTGGTGAACTGGCTCCTAATCCTGCCGCCCTTCTCATGAAACTCTTTACACCTCCATCTCACTGTCTTTCCACACAGGCTTGCAGGCACATTGCCCCAGAACCCCTCTTCCCCCCGTACTGACCAACGCTCACCCCCTAGTGTGAGCCACTCTGGGGCACCCACTGTTTGTGGAACATTTACTATGTCCCGGGCTCTGTTAGGTTCTTTCCTTGCATAACCTCATTGAGTTTTTGGAACACTCCTGGAATGTAGATGTTACTATTGTCCCCATTTTACAGATGGGGAGACTGAGGCCTTAAGAGGTATAATGACATCCCCAGGGCAACTCAACTAGTAAGTGGCAGAGGCTGGGATTCTCTAAAGCCTGTGTGCTGAACTATACTGTTCTGCTTCTTTATCCATTCTTTGTTCTGGTCCCTGGCATTGGGGGTCCTTGCCAGATGGACTGTTGTAATGAGCAGGATCATTTGGGTCAAAGTCTCATGGTTGAACAGGGCTCTTGTAGCTTCCCTTCCTGCCACCCGGCTTCTGGGTCCTCCCTTCCCCACCTGCGGTACTGGAGCCAGTGCTGGGGGCAGAGGTGGTCCTGATTTTCTGCCCCCAGCTTCAGGGTTTCTATACAGGCCTGCTCAGCTGTGTGTGATACACTCCGCCTACCCTGGCTGCAGTCCCCAGTCCTGCTGCTCAGCCCCTGCCTCAGGAACTGGGTATAAGTTTGCACTCTGGCACCTGCAACTTCTCGGAGCTGGGCCAGGTGAGCAGCATTCCTGAGGCTGCTGTTTGCAGATGGGGCCCACACAGACCCACAGCCTATTTCTGGAGCCCCTTCAAGATTAGCCTCATCTATCCCCAGCCTGATGGGTGCCCTGCCATTCCTTGTTCAAGGAGGCCAATACTCTGAGCCGAGAGCCTGGACCCAGTCCTTACTGTACATGAGAAAACAGGTCCCGTGTGGGCAGACCTGCCTCGACACAGCTCACCCCTGTGCCCGTGTATGTCTTTCCCCCAAGCGGCACTTCGTGGCCACATCCTGGTCTTCAGCCTACCTGGAGACTGCCTGTCTGAGATTGTTCCTGGGGGCTCTTGAAAGCCCCTCAGTGGGCAGGGTCAGCAGTCCTGGACCCCAAAGCTCCCTGGCTGATGGTCCCCAGACCTGATTCTCAGCATAGGGTGGGCTTATGGGGTCCTCTGGGGATCCCATAGCCTGTGCTCCCAGTAATGTTGACTTCTGCCTGCCCTTCTGAGAGGCCAGGGGCTCCCCCACCAGACTGAGCTGCTCAGGCGTGTGTTCCTATACCCTCGCACCCAGCACTGGGCTGTGTTGTAGCACCAGGCAGGGGAACGGGAAGGGCATTAAAGGGCTGCCCAGAGCCGAGGGTCCTGGAGCCTGGGCTTCCTCCTGGTGTGCCTGTGCTGTGCAGGGTGGGGAGAGCACACTCAGCTGTCTAGGGCAGGGACCCAGGAACAGCAGGTCCCTAGCCATGCCTCCACTTACACCCTTTTCTGATTCTTTCCCAGCAAATTGTGGCCACAAATGTGCCCCCTGAAGATCAGGACGGCTCTGGAGATGACTCTGACAACTTCTCTGGCTCAGGCGCAGGTGAGGCTTATGTGGGGGGGGGCGGGGCATGAGACGACAGGCTATGACTGGGGCAGTGGTCAGTCAGGCTCCTGTGTTTACTGCGCATTTACTGAGCGCACCTCCACCCTCTCCTCTCCACCTGCCCCATCCCTGCCCAGCGGTTTGAAGGGTGAAGCTGAGGGAAAGAACTGGGGTGTATGCTGCAAGGAGCTGCCTGGGTAAGGAGAAAACGTGCACAGAGGTGAAGGGTAGGCCGTGGGTTCCAGGAGGCCCTGGGGACTGTCTGCTGCACACAGACTTATTCTCCTCTTTACTCGCTGGGCTACCTTTGGAACCAAACTTCGGAAAGTTATTTGACTCCTCTGAGCCTCTGTTTGCTCATCTGTAAAATGGGAATGATACCTTGACCTGACCAGGTTGTTGGGAGCTGTAAGGCAGCACAGAGCTTGGGTGTAGATCTTCACCATTGTTTCCTCCCCTGAGGTGGAGGTGGTTCTTGAGTTGGACCTCAGGAGAGCAGCAAGGGCTAAGGGAGGGCCGAGGCCATCTGTGGGGAAGTGGCCTAGGCAGAAGCCTGAGAGCTGCGTGCTGGGATCCAGACGTCTGTTCTTAGGAGCAGGGGCCTTTCTGGGGAGAGGGCAAGTGGGGTAGGGAGGGGCTGGAGAGGTATGTGCACTGGAGATAAGGCAGTCGCGCCCCTGAGGATGCCCGCCCCCACCCCTGTGGTCACAGAAAAGCACCTTCTCAGATGTCGTGGAGTCTTTCTCATGGTTCCAGGCACCAGGCTGCCCCAGGCACGTGCAAGCAGGAAAGGACAGCCTTTCCAAGTTCAGCCTCAGCTAGTTCCACCCCAGGGGCATGGCTGCTCTCAGGAGGTAGGGTTGCTATCCTTGCTGGCCTGGCATTCAGAGCCCCAGGTCCTTGCCCAAGCACCTGGCCTTCTACACAGCCTGAGTCTAGCTGGTCTTAGTGCTCTGGGGCCTCCCCCACCCTGACCTGCTCTACTTCTGGCCCTGCAGGTCCTTTGCATGAGATCACCTTGTCACAGCAGACCACTTCCACCTGGAAGGACCTGTGGCTCCTGACAACTACGCCCATGGCCCCAGAGCCCACTGGCAGGGATGCCATAGCCACCTCTGCCCCCATCCTGCCAGCTGGAGAGGGGCTCGAGAAAGAAGAGGCAGCAGTCCTGGCAGAAGTGGAGCCGGGCTTCACCGCCCGGGAGAAGGAGACCGCCCCCCCACCCAGGGAGACCACACAGCTCCCAACCACTCCACAGGCCTCCGCAGCCAAAACCACCACAGCCCAGGTGGCTGCCACCTCCCATCTCCACAGGGATCTGCAGCCTGGCCACCATGAGACCTCAGCTCCTGCGAGACCTGGCCAGCCTGACCCTCCCACTCCCAGCATAGAGGCCAGAGGTCCTACTGCCACAGAGAGGGCTGCTGAGGATGGAGCCTCTAATCAGCTCCCGGTAGAAGAGGGCTCTGGGGAGCAGGTGAGCTGTCTCTGCATTTCCTGGAACATTGGGTAGCCAGTGTGTAGGGTGGCCCTTAGTGCCTGGCACGTAGCAAGCCCGGCATCCTATACCCTTTGGGCACGTCATATTCCCCACCATGAAGGCAGGGTCACAGGGTCCCACTTTCCTTCCTCAGGGCCTCACCCAGAGCAGGACAGACTAACTATGAGATCAGAGCAAAAGTGTCCTTAAAGGTCACTGAAGAGAGGGCTCTGCAGAGGGTGAGACCCCTGCTGCAAGGAAAAAAGTTCTACCAAGTCTTATTTTTTAATCTTATGGCACTAAAATACGCCTATTTATTTTTATATAAAAATGTGTGTTTTGTATCACTTGAAGGGAAATCCGTGCCATGGTTCAGCCAGGGTCCAGTGTGATGTGGTAAGAGTCATTGGCTTTGGGGTCTTTGGGTTTTGGGTGTGTCTGAGCGGATGGCAGTGGAGATCAGAGAGGCAGGAGCTGCTTCTGGCTTTGGGAACGGAGCTGGATGCTGCTTCAGGATCAGATCTGGCCTGATCTGTCCCTGTCCTCCTATAGGACTTCACCTTCGAAATATCTGGGGAGAACACGGTTGTGGGGGCTGCGGAGTCTGACCATCGGAATCAGCTCCCTGTGGATCAAGGGGCCACAGGGGCCTCACAGGGCCTCCTGGACAGGAAGGAAGTGCTGGGAGGTGAGTTTTCTCTCAGGTGGGTGGGAGGAGGGCAAACTGTTGCTCTGGGGTGGGGCTGACCACAGCCCAGGCCACCCCTTGGGCTGCCTGGGGGAGGGACTGCAGTGGGACCTGAGTAGCAGCTGAGCTGAGCTGGCCCCTGTCCACCCACCCTAGGGGTCATTGCTGGAGGCCTGGTGGGGCTCATCTTTGCCGTGTGCCTGGTGGGTTTCATGCTGTACCGGATGAAAAAGAAGGACGAGGGTAGCTACTCCTTGGAGGAGCCGAAACAAGCCAACGGTGGGGCCTACCAGAAGCCCACCAAGCAGGAGGAGTTCTACGCCTGACGCGGCAGCCATTCTCCCCTCCCCCAGCACTCACCAGGCCCCCACTTGCCTCTTCTGTGAAGAACTGCAGGTGGCCTCCCTGCCACCAGGCCACCTCTCCAGCACCCTGGAGCATGCTGGGGACCTCCATTCTGCTTCTCTGACTTCTGCATAGAGACTTGGGGCACAAAGGGTTTCTCGCATACGACTTTTCCACCACAGCCAGCACCTGGCATCTCACCATCTTGACTCAGTTTCTCCAAACTGGAGCAGCCCCTCCCCAGGCCCAGCTCTGGAGAGAAAGGGGACTCCACTGCTTTGGACCTGGATGGCCACTGTGGCTGGAAGATCCTGTGGGTGGGGGCTTCGGGTTGATACATCTATCATCTATAGCACTTACTGGTAGGCACCAGCAGTCTTGGGGGCATTGGCCACTGAGTGGGGAGGAGTTCAGGGCTCCACCAGAGTTCACTTTGTTTTATGGGGAGTCTGACTTAGATATCAACTTGTTTTTGCACACGTTTCCTCTAGTTTCTTTGTTCAGTAGCCCCAGTAGACTTTGTTACTTCAAGGTAAGTTAAGTAAGTTGATTTGGTATCCCCCCATCTTGCTTCCCTAATCTACAGTCAGGAGACAGTGTCAGGGTTAAGAAGGCTTTTTTTTTTTTTTTTTAAACTAGGAGAGCCAAATCTGGAAGCCAGAATGTAGGCTTAGTTTGTGTGTTGTCTCTGAGTTTGTTGCTCATGTGTGCAACAGGGTATGGACTATCTGCTTTGTGGCCCCATTTTTGGTGGCCCGTTAGTGGGCTGGCCAGTCCAGGCTGCCACGGGGTGGCCACTTCTTCTGCTCAGTCATGCCAGTGTCCTTGAACTCAGGGCCACGAACGTGGCCTGGGCTGCTGTGACATTGGAAAAGCCCATATAAGAATCAAATCTCGCGGCGCAGGCTGGGATGGAGGAAGGAGGACTGTGGGGTGGTTGGAAGGGTGGCAGGGGGCCCGGAGACTCTCCTGCAGACTATGCCCTTCCTGCCTTGGCTCCTTCTCTGGAGGATGACGATCTCTCCTGGAAGTTGACAAGAGGCACCGGGCACAACTGGCCCAGAGCTCTTCCATCCAGGGCCAGGTTCACCTGAAGCTCCTGCAGCCCCACCCTGGTCTGGCATCAGGAATGTTTTCCAAAGAGTGATAGTCTTTTGCTTTTGGCAAAACTCTACTTAATCCAATGGGTTTTTCCCTGTACAGTAGATTTTCCAAATGTAATAAACTTTAATATAAAGTAGTCATGTGAACTCACTGCCTCTGCTTTTCTCTGAGCTGCTCGGGTGGAGGTGGCCCGCCTTTTCTCCAAGCACCAATGCTGTTGGGAAACTCAGCTCAAACCTCTGTACCTCCATCCTTCCCGTGCGGAGAGATTCTGGGTCCAGAGTCCCTCTGGTTTATTTGTTTTTAAATTTTGGCTCAAAGTCTTCTGGAGGTTGCTAGGTTCGGCCAAGGTTTTGTAAGGCCTGATGTAAATGTCTTTGTTGCCGGGCTCAAAGCTCCATCTTCTAAGTGGCTACAGATGTTGGGAAGGCCCTAATGCAGCTTGTCCTGAGACTGCTGGCCCCAGTGGCAGAGGTGCGGTGCCAGGGCCTACCTTGCAGACACCTTGGACGGCCCTCCTCCTGCGTCTTTGCTGGGTCCAGAGGTCCCCAGCCAGGCTCCTGGAACTCCTGTACTTGCTTATTTAATCTGACAACGTTCCAGCTGCTCTGTCGGCCACTCTAAGAGGTGGGCTGTGGCTCAGAGATGCACTGCCAAACAAAGGGAGCCTGTGCCCTGTGTTCAGTACTGGACTTTCTGCCTGGTGTGTGTGACTAGACACCACTCCGGTGGGGAAGGGGTCCGTGACTGTGCAGCTGCTAGTCTGTGGGACGCCACCCACGCCTCTGGCTGGGCCCTTTCATGTAACTGCAATAAACGATACTTGCCATTTCAGTCAGTTGATGCTGTGGTGGTGGCTGAGTTGGCCTGGCGATGTCCTGCCCTGTCACCTTGGGGTGGGGCCTGGCTCTGGGCTGTGCTCTGGCTTGGTACAGAACAGGGGGATTAATGTGGTGTCTCTGCTGTAATGGAGACCGAGTCCATCTCTGACCCCCTCACCCAGCCCTGCAGCGGGCCTTTGTCACCTCACCTCCTCCCCAGGCTCTGGCCCTTACTCTCGCCCCGCTGTCCTCGTTCCCTAATGCTCTGTCTAGATCATTCCCCTCCTTAGGACACGAGGGATCCCTCCTGACTCTTCAGAGTTTGCTCTCTATTCTGTCTGCTCATTGTGTGATTCCTGAAAACTCACTAGCAAGCAGTCTTAAGTGCCAAAGGTCTAAGAAAACTGCACATTAGGGGAAAACGCCAGTGGAAGACTTGGGAGATGAAAAAGCGCGGTGCACTGCGGGAGCCTTGGTGGGCCAGGGCGTCCAGTGGCCTCCCCTTACTCGGTCTCATCCCGGCCACTGGCCTGCCCTCTGGCGCTGGATGCAGGCCAGCCCCCGAGTCCAGACCCCGGCCTGTCCCATGGGGGGGTCCATTCCTTCACGGCCTCTGCACCTGCTGATGAGCAAGACTGCAGGCTCCAGGCAGCTTGGCAGGGTGGAGAATTCTACTCTCTCCTGACACATCATGTTCCCAAGGGTTTGGAGGCTGAGACGAAGTCCTCCAGGTCGTTCATTCAGCAAGCACTGCTAACACTGAGCGCCTGTCTTCCCTGTCCCTGGGCCACCTGCTCCCATCATATTCATATAGCATGAGCTGCACTTCTGCATGTCCCACCTCTGTCCTCATCCTTCCCTCTCCTCTTGCTCTGTGCTCCCGCCCGGGATGACCCCACTCCAGGGCACCTCCAGGACAGGGTTTTGTCATAAAACAGGCTTCCCTGAGACTAACAGTGAAGATGCTAAAGTGTAAAGGTGTTTGAACATCTTCAAGTTCCTCTGGTGCCCCTGCTGCAAGGGATTTCCCTGGCCATCTCTCCTCAGGCCTCAGCCTGCTGCTCCGGCTCCCCCAGCCTTCGTCCCCTCCCTTCCCCTCTGCGCTGTCCTCCCCCGGGAGGAGAAGCACTATCTCACTTTTCCCTCACCTGTAGCTCGTGCCCTAGCCTGGGTGTGTGTGTTTGTATGTTATGTGGACATGGGAGACTCACTGGATTTTTTATTAAGAGCTTTTCCAAGTTCTTTTCTTTTCTTTTCTTTTTTGGCAGCTGGCTGGTACTGAGATCAAACCTCGGACCTTGGTGTTAGCACCACCGCATTCTAATCAACTGAGCTAACTGGCCAGCTGGAAAGTTGCTGTCTAAACTCATGTGCCATCTTCTCTTAGGTTGACTGTCTCGCCTTCTTAATTGGCAGCTGGTTTCTGTTTAAAATTGCATTCTTTGCCTTGCTTGCCTCTGGGGGTTTGCTCTGGCTTTGTCTCCACACCCAGAATAAAGACCCTGGACCTCTGTGCTCCCTGCGCTCAGGGAGGTTGCGGCCAAGGGAGCTGTCAGTGACAGAGTGCCTGGTGTGGCCTGACGGGGGAGAGGGGCCCCCAACCCAGCCCAGAGTCTGGGTCATGGGAGGTGCCAGAATGGCACTGGACCTGGGCCTGGAAGGACAAATTCAAACTGGCCTCTCAAACAAGGAGGGGAAGGCATTCCAAGCAGAAGGCATGGCTTGGACAAAAGGAAGGACTCAAGAGCCTTCACGTTGGACGTGAAGTGCTGGCAGGTGCAGGGAGGGAAGCAGCTGGAATGAGGGAGGCTGTGGCCACCCCAGGGGAGAGCGGAGAGCCTCCTGGGGGTCTGCAGGGGAAATGAGGACTTGTGGGGGTGGGGCACCACAGCCCAGCCACAATAAAGAGGTGAGGGTGATGACAGCAGCGGGGAGGACGGAGAGCAGGGGCTGGGTTTGAGGATGTAAGGGGCAAAACTGGCAGGACCTGTGAGGAGTGCTTCCCTGCCCCTCCTCTCCTACAGGTACAAGTGTTCCCAAGGGGAGCCTGAGGGAACAGGCACTCGTGATGAGCTTGTCCTCTGAGCCAGCGGTCAAGGACAGGGGCTCACAGGGTAGAAGGGACAAGCAGCCCCAGAGCTGGGCTTTGATTCAATGGCTCTGCAGGTAACGACTGTGTGGAGCAGCCCCGGGACCATGCTCCCACCTCTGAGGTGCCCTGTCCATTTCTATCCCATCCCCCAGTCACCCCCTGCCCCGTGCCCCTTCTCTCTAGCATGACAGAAGAGGAAGGGGCTGGACCGCCTCTGGAGAAGGGGAGCTTCTGGGCCCTGGAGCTGAATGGGCAGGAGCTGGGGGGAGTGTCCCAGGCCAGGGACCTAGAGGGGCTTAGAAACTGCCTGGGCCCACCGACCCTAAAGCTGTGGGAGCTGGAGGGTCCAATCCTGCCAGCTCTGCCTGGCCGCAGGAACAGCCCTCACCTGGCTTCTCCCTTCCTACCACTCCCCGACACCGCTGCACCCACCCCCAGCTCCTGTCCTTGAGCCACGCCCACTTGTGTGAGCGTGCATGTGCAAGGATGGATGTGCATGTGCCCCAAAGCAGGTCCTCACAGTTCCACCCCATGCTTGCTCAACTTCTGGGCTGGGAGGGCACCTGAGTCCTCTGTGCCCCTTAACTTCTGGGTCACTCCCCCCGGCCACCTCTTGCCATGTTACCTACCACAGATACCTGTTTCCACGTTGGCTTTCTGTTGCTGTGGTGCTCCTGGAGGGCAGGTGCTTTACTATGCAGGAGACAGAACACACAGGGGCTGACTGGGATGGGGGAGTGTGCCTTTGGGGTGCCCATCGTGGCTGTCTGGTGCTGCTGTCCTACTCTGAAAGTCAAGCAATCTTCAGGAACTTATCAACAGTACGGGACCCCGGCACACGCCCACCAGAAGGCTAGGATTGGAGACTTTGGAAACTTAGGTGGCAGTATCCACTAAAACTAAACACACACCTGCCCTGTGATCCAAGAGAAATGAGAGCACGTGTCTGCTGAAAGGTGTGTGTGAGAGTGCTCATGGCAGCTTTATTCGGAGACAAATGACCGTCCACAGGAGAGTGGATGAGTTATGGTGTATTCATACGATGGAATACTACTCACCGATAAAGAAGGACAAACCACCCATACACTTACCACACAGATGAACACCACAGGCGATAGACGACAAGCAAGGAGCCAGACACAAAAGAGCCTGTGCTGCAAGATTCCATTTAGATGAAGTTT